TTTTTTAAAAACTTGGTTATTTTTTAATGACTCATAAAAGTTACATCAGCAGCCAGCATGATAATGAGATGGGTGGGGGCAGTATAAGAATTCACAGTGGTCATGGCAACCACTAAGCTGCGTTTTATCAGCATAGTTTTGCCTTTTCTGGAATTTCATGAAACTGGAATCATGCAGTGAGTAGTTTTTTGTGTTGGACTTCTTTCACTTGCATGTTTTTGATTCAGTATGAATATACCACAATTGATCCATTTATCAGTTGCTAGATATTTGTTTTGTTTCTAGTTTGGGGCAATTAATGAATAACGATGCTATGACTACTGTATAAATCTTTGACTTGGTTGATTTTTAATTACTGACCTTTAGCAATCTTGCTGAACTCTTAATTTGAATAGCTTGTCTTTCTTGGATTTTCTGCATACACAGTTATATCATTTACACATAATGACAGTTTTGTATTCTTCTAATCTTTATATCTGTTTGTGTTCTTGTCATTTGTGTACTAGCTAGGATCTCTAGTACAATGTTGAATGGAAGCAGAATCAATTTTAGTGGGCGTCCCTCATGTTCCTGACTTTAAAATAGTATGGTATAAGTCTGAAGTTTCGCCATTAAGCATGAGGTTTGCTGTAGGTTTTTTCATGTTAAGGAATTTCACCTTTTCCTGGTTTGCAAAGAGATTTTACTATGAAGGGAGTTGGAGTTTTCCCAAATGCATTTTCTACATAATCTGAAATGGTCACAGGTTTTTCTTAAATTTTATATATGTAGCTTTTTTCTTTAAGCTTACTCTTTTCAGGTTTTAAAATATAATCATTTAAAACACACTTTTAATAAATTGTTTAGATTAAAAACTTTCCTATCTTGAATCTCTTCTCCATGACTCAGATTATAATATAGCATATCATTTATTTGTCATGCATAATGTTAATTTTGGCTGTAAATTGCTTAAGATATGAGCCACGTCTTAATCACATTTGTATTTCCCATAGGATCTAGCACAGTACATTGCAAATAACAGGCCCTTAATAAATGTTAAACAGGGCTGCTGCTCTCTGCTAAATAGCCACAGTCTGGTACATCATGAATTCTTATGTTGCCCCCATGCATTTTGTTACACTGGCTGCTGATGTAACTTTTATGGGTCATTAAAAAAATAAATAGCCAAGCTTTTTTAAAAAGATCTAAATTTCATTCACTCATCAAGTATTTATTGAGTACCAACTAAGTGTCAAGCTTGGCTGGGAGCTATCAGGACAGTCATGCATGACATAACCAAAGGATACATATTGAGAAATGTTAGGCGATTTCATTGTTGTGCGAACATCATAGCACACTTACACAAACCTAGATGGTGTAGCCTACCACACACCTAGGCTATACGGCATATAGCCTGTTGCTCCTAGACTACAAATCCGTGTAACATATACTGTACAAAAACAGAGATTAAATCAAGCACAAGAGAGGAGATGCAGTGGACAGATGTATGAGGCTGTTGCCAGTGGAACAGGGCATATAGTGTTTTACAGCAAACTTTTTAATAAGTAGAAAGAGTACACTCTAAAATAACAATAAAAAGCCTAGTGTAATAAATACGTAAACCAGTAACATTGTCATTTAGTATCATTATCAATATTATGTACTGTACGTAATTGTATGTGCTATACTTTTATAGGACTGGCAGCATAGTAGGTTTGTTTACACCAGCATCACCACAAACACAGGAGTAATGCATAGCATTACAACAGTTACGACATAGGAATTTTTCAGCTCTATTATAATCTTACGGAACCACTTTCGTATATACAGTACATCTTTGACAGAAACATCATATGGCGCATACCTGTATGACTACAATACAAAATGAAGATAAATGGAGACTTATAAGAACCTTATAGCCAATAGGGAGAGATAAGATCTGTGTGTGAGTTACTCTAATGCAAGGTAGAAAGTGATCTCAAGAAATTTACAAAAGAAAAGAGATTAGGTGAACTTCAGAATACCTGATAGCTCTTTTATGAAGTACATGACTCTGGTGTATGGACTTTTCGTCTATAATTTGTTAATTCAGAGACTTCTATTTTCTAATTGCTGAGGTGCTGAACAAATACCTTGTGGATTAGTGAAGTATTTTATAAGTTAAATTCTTTGAGAAACTTAAATGTTTTGTATTATTGTCATAGTCCTAAAATGTGATTTTTGAATAAACGTAAGAACTCAAACTCCGTACCTTGGTATATGAGTACGAAGTTGCTTTTTGACCTGCCTCAGTTATCTCTCCATTTCCATCTCTTATACCCCCTTCCCACCATATTGGACACTCCAACCATAGCACATGAAGCCCTTGGAGAGGTCATACATTCATCCTTTGCCCTACATATAATGCCCTTTAACTCTATCTTCTGTGTGGGTAATGAGTATTTGTCCTTCAACATTCCATTCCGGTATTTTCTCCCCTGGGAAGTCTTCCCCAAACACTGTCACCCCTTCTTCTCTGCTCTCTACATTTCTCCTATTAGAGCCCATCCATGTCATATTTATGTTCTCTTTGTATACAGTAAGTCCCCAACTTACGAACTAGTTCCATTCAGGGGAAACATTTGTAAGTCGGATTCGTTCGTAAATCCAACAAAGTGAGTCTTATACACTTTTGACACAAATATACAATGTAAAGCATAAAAAAACTAAACACACACGAAAATACTATAAATAAACTATTTTTACTTTTACAGTTACCTTAAAATGGTGGTACAGTACAGTACAACAACTGGCATATAGGGGGTTTCATGGAGTGAACTGACAAGAGCAGACACGTGAGCTACTTACGCGATTTGTTCACATCTATGAATGTTCATAATGCAAGGTCCGTTCGTATCTGTGAAAGTTCTCAACTCGAATGTTTGTAAGTCGGGGACTTACTGTACTCGGATTTTCTAGGCTATTTGATCTCTTTCTTGACAGAGGCTATATACCCAGTGCTTGGAATGTAGTAGACATTCTTGAAATTATTGTTTGTTGACTAGTTAAAAATGATCTATCAAAGGGCCTGGAAACTTGTCATCAATTTGACAGTTAGGGCTGAGTATTCTTTTACAAGTGTCTATCCATGCTCTTTGGCTATTCATTTATGTGCTACTAGAAAAGAGAGCTTGCCAAACAGGGTGGGTGTTGTACGCACATTTGACTATCTCAACAGCTGATACCAAATGTTTAGAAATGAGTATTTCCATCTGTCATTTTCATCCCACCGCCCTGCTTTCACCCTAAAATTAATTATGTTAGGAACTATTTCTTATCTCCCTAGATATTTATGTTAGATCAGACAAGGGCTCAAGAAAACTCTATACTTTATCATTCAGTTTTCATATTACCCTATGAATCCATGGAATTCTTGTAACTTTCTGTTCAGAGATGGGATCTCCTACATGGCTTAATAAATTCCTGCAGGCTTATTCTCGTTATATATTACTTCCCTGCAGTACACTCATTGTCTTAAGCCTACATACAGCACATTGACAAGTATGCCTACTACAAATGACACTTGCACAGTGTTTGATCCAGTCCTTAGATTCAAAGGTATTTGCTCCACAGTGTTAAATTTTATGTTGAGAACCTCAACCAACCTGGGCTCACACTATCTAACCTTAAATTGTTCTTCATTGGCTGGGACATAGGGGATTTGGCTTCTCCCCAGTAGTATCAAGTTAAAATTCCTCATTTTAATTGAAAACATAACTTTTGCTTTCATTTTGCATTTTGCATTCTTTTCTAATTGAATTCTTGCTTCAACCATTTCCAGTAGTTTATACAATTTTTCTTCCTAATTTCTTATTTACATTCTATTTATCAGTGGAGGCCTATGTCAAGTCTGCTTTCTCCCTAATCCACTTCATACTGAGTTCTCCAAGTAAGATAGAGTTGTGTACTTGAGAGTACATGCATACTATAAACTAGAACGTCTTTTTATTATGGTGGTTTCAAGTCAGTTGGAGCCTTTCTTTTGCTGTCTGTACTATTTCTTGAGCCACTAGTTATGTGATACCAGCAGCTAATCTCCTTTGTCAGCTCTTTGAACTTGGGTACAAATAAAAAATTAGCTATAACTCTGAAGTGACAAGGTAGAGGAACTGAGAAGGACAAAGGGAGTATCTAAGGATTTTGACTCCCGATGACACTCTAATGTTAAATTATTTCCTTGAGTGGATCAACATCAAAATTCTAACACCTGTAAGTCTAATTGTGTGTTTCCTGACTTGGTGAGTTTTTCTTATTGAATCTTTCCCAGAAAGATCTTATTTGGAGATTTCCTAGACTTTGTTTCTACTGATTCTATCTTAAAAATGAAGAGCTTTGTGAAACTGGGACTTTTTAGAGTGGGAAAGTGAGATTATAGGATTATTTCTGAATAAATTTGTGCTATTTTTTGAAATTCTAATTGTTTAAAGAATTTGGTTTGTAATATTTGTTCTGTCCATTTTTATTTTCCTGTTACTTTTTCTTGTGTATTTTCAGGAATGGCTTTGTACATGGTATGAAATATTAACTGTCTGCAGCAGGCTAACACATAATTTTATAATCTAATATACCCTGAAGTTGTAATATGCAAGGCTCAGCACCACAACATTGCTTGACAAAGTTGTGTTGTAACCTTTTCTGAATTTTTAAATGTTAGAAGATATTTTGATCGCCAAATGTTGTGCTTGGAAAAGAGAAATTATGGAGTATGTTACTGCTCTGGAGATACGGGTAGCAGGTGTGGTGTTAAGAGTTAGAAGAAGGCAGAGCTCTCCCAAGGGACTGGTGTCTTAAGAGGCATTTTGATGAGTTCAGGCACCACCACTTGAATCACTTCTGGGTTGATTTTGATTAGAGACCCGACTCCTTTGGTCTTTATATCTTTGCTTATAAAACAATAATCTTTAAGGTTTCTTTCAATCCTATCCTTTCTGTGACTCTGACTGGAGATGCGATATTGACCATCAGTGTGTTTCATATCTTAGGACCCAGATGAAGTGGTACCCATTGGCCAGAGAAGAGCCTGGTGCTGGTGCATGTGCTTTGGACTGGCGTTTATGCTTGCAGGTGTCATCCTAGGAGGAGCATACCTGTACAAATATTTTGCACTTCAAGTAAGTGGAAAAATGCTAAGAACTAATTTTTTGCCTTTCCTTAATGTGTATTAAAAAATTGGCCCTAACTTGCTCTAAGTCTGCACTTTTGTCTGTGACCTTTAGCCAGAGTGGTGGTCTTAGTTTAAGGCTGTGTTTGAAAGTCTCCTGAAACTAAGTTTGCTAAGCCTTTTAGACAGCCATTTGGACAGAGGAGCATACTGGCACTACTTTTCTCTGCCTTTTCCGTGGTCACTAGTTTCTCTAAAGAACTGTGTAATGCTGGGCCGGCCGAGTGGCACGTTAGTTAAGAGCTGGCTTGGGACGCCAGAGGGTCCCGGTTTGGATCCCACATTTGGGGGCCAGTGACACTGCCCTCTACAGCTAAGATGCTGAACAACAGCTCAACCTGGAGCTGGGCTGCCGTGAGTTGCCTCCGACAGCGTAGGCTGCAGCTCCTGCTGCAGTGGGTTGCCTTGGGCTACCGTGTGTAGCCAGCAGCCAGCGTGAGTGGCCATCCAGAAGCCGGCAACTGATCTGCTTAGCCTGGGAAGAGCGCAATGATGTGCCAACTTGGGCCAGTGAAGCAACATCCTCAACAACTAGAATGAAGAATGAAAGGACAGCAACTTGTCTGTTCTTCTTCCCCCAATTCCCCAGCGCTGTTCCCATCCCCCAATCCCCCAATAAAAATCTTTAAAAAAAAACACAAAAACTGTAATGCTGAAGTCACGTAAGACGGAAGTTGTTTATAACTTAAAAGTATTTAGTAGTAATCCTACTGGATTAAGACAGGTTTTTCTTCCGATTGTGATTATCATCTCTTTTTTCTGGGCAATAATTCAGTAGGTTTAGTGTTTTGGTTTGTTTGTTTTTTTTAAGGAATCTTGGGAAATGAGTTTTATGACTATGTCAAATATTTTAATATTTTAAAACTTGAGAAAGTGTTGACAAATAGGTTTTATTAAAATAATTTAAGGAACTAATTTTGAAATATTCTGCCAGAGGATGTGTAAATTTCATGCTCTTTTTCTATATTTTTTGAGATGATGGCATGTTAATAGACTGGTGAAATATGACTCATCTTTGTTTAATACAGTTTTTTACAAAAAATATATTTGATGAAGAAAAAATCATTTGCAATTTCACTGTCCAGAGATGAATTTGTTGTCTTAATGTTTTGGTATATACTCTTGGTGTTTATTATATATGTATACTTTTTTTTTACAATCTTTATAGTGATTTGCTGTAATGTGATATTTTCCAATTGTGATGTATTTTAAGGAAAAGTCAGACCTATGTGCCTATAGAAATTTCAGAAAAATTATCACTCTTGACTAATAAGAGAAAAATTGTTGAATCAACGAATCATATCAAAATATTTAAAAGTATGTTCTTTAAGAAAAAAGCATTTATTTCTAAATGTGTTCTTTTTTTTTTTTAAATTGGGGAATTGGGGGAGGAGAACTGCCAAGTTGTTCTTCAGTCTTAGTTGTGGAGGGCACCAGTTGCCATCTGGCTTCCTGTTGGCAGCTCGTGGCCTCTAAGCTCAAGGTACTGTGTTCAATCTTAGTTGCGGGTGGGTGTAGCCACCATCCCATGTGGGAGTCCAACCTGCACCTTGTCGTTAAGAGCACACACTCTATCCACTGAGCCATCCGGGTGGCAGCTCAGCTCAAGGCGCCAAGTTCAATCTTAGTTGCAGGAAGGCATAGCCCAGTATCAAACAGGCAGTCTTGTTGTTAGGAGCACGTGCTCTCACCAGCTGAGCCATCCTGCCACCTTTTGGCAGCTCAGCGGCAGCTCAGCTCGGGCGCAGCGTCACTGGCCCATGTGGGAATCGAACCTGGGGCCCTGTTGCTCAGACCTCACACTCTTAAGCTAACTCTTAACCAACTGAGCCACTCGGCCAGCCCTGAATGTATTCTTTTATAAAAATAATGCCCAGAGGTAGAAATAGGCCTGTGTGTTTTTTCCAACTTACTTGTCACCAGATGGGTAATTGCTTTTATATCCTGTTTTTTGTGGACCACAAAAAGTAAAGGGGAAATCTGCTTTTCTCCTTCTGAAGCCAGTTTTTTACAATACTTCAAAACCTGATCTTAAAGAATGTGTTAACTCTGTAATTAAACTGTCTGACTTATCATCTAAAAGTAAAAGTTTGCAAGCAAAATGCTATTTAGATAGAGGTGGCAGCTTAAGTAATGCTTACCTTTCACAACCTGCCTCCTACTAAATTGCTGAAATAGTGTTTAAATTGTCTCTAGCCGGATGACGTGTACTACTGTGGACTAAAGTACATCAAAGATGATGTCATCTTAAGTGAGCCTTCTGCAGATGCCCCGGCTGCTCGCTACCAGACAATTGAGGAAAATATTAAGATCTTTGAAGAAGATGAAGTTGAATTCATCAGTGTGCCTGTCCCAGAGTTTGCAGATAGTGATCCTGCCAACATTGTTCATGACTTTAACAAGGTGGGCCACATGTCTCTTGCTGTAAAAAGATGCAAATGTTTGATATATGTTTTCTGTAGTTTTAGTTTCAGTATTTGCTAATTGATTCTATTTAGAGTTGACTTTTTACTTTAAAAACACAGACTTGGGTTTCTTCTGTTCTCCAAGATAAACTGTCAACATCTGAAGCAGACCCTCTGAACCTGGCCTCCTCCCACTGTAACCTTTCTTCCCTTTGCTTTGTCTATCTTAAAGCCCACTTTTTTATGGCTGTTCCTCCTTTGCTGGTAAACTGCTATTATTTCTTCTGTACCCCCCAGTTTCTTAGATAAGAGGTGATTTGTGTTTCCATTTCTATGTAGCATTTTTCAGAAATTTGTGATTTTAGTTCTGCATAATTTTGCAATCTACTTTTAAGCTTTCATTCTACATTTCCCCCAGCTATTGAAAATTGTTTTGCAATACAGAAAAGATGAAGTGAAAATACAGTGACTACCCCAAATCCTCCACCTGGTTCCAAAATTTTATATTTTCTTCATGTCTTTTTTTCGCACATTTGACACTTGACTCCTAGATACTTAAACTATTATCTCTTAAGAATGAGGACTTCTTCTCTACCTAACCTTATCATTATCACATCTAGGAAAATTAACGCGATAATACAGTATTATTTAATCTTTAGTTGATATTTAAATTTCCCCAGTAATTTCTGTCCCAAGAATGTTTTGTTTTTCCAAACCAGGATTTGGAGATTCTGGAGTTCCCATCTTACCTATAGATATTTACATCTGTATAGAAGTTTGCCATTTTGAGCAGTCAGACAATATCACTGAAGTTACCTTTGCCAACATTTCATACCTGATAAATGTTTATAAGCAGGCCAGTTTGAAAAATTACTTACTTCAAGGTAATAAACCTTCTCCAAAGCAAATAGTAAATATAATAATAGCTAACACTTACTAAACTCTTAAAATCTAAGTGTTTATGAGGTTTGATTTAGCTTCTAATCCTCAAAACCATCCTATAGACAGTCTTTCTCACCTGACCTGTAAGAACACTGACAATCATTTAATTGACTTATTTTATTTCGCTAAGGATGGCATTAACTAGTACTATTCTAGATGCATAGGAGAGAAGTTAATTTTTATAAATAATGGATGGGTGCCTTAGAGGGCATTAGTGTTTATAAGCGAGGAAACTAAATCTCTTAATCAGATAATAGGTTATTTGCAGTTAATTTTAATAGTTGATTATCAGTTATTATAGAAACAAACCCCTGATAAGAATTTTACTCTTAGTAGCAATAATTTTTTTCTTCCATTATTACTTCCGTTCTTATCCCACCAAATTCTTGATTTGTTGAAATGCAATTGATTTACACATTCTAACGCCAACCCTTTTAATGGTACAAATTATTCTTAAAAATCCAGTTGCTGCCTGTGTTATAAATATAAGTCTAACAAAGATGTGTCTTTTTCTTCCCAGAAACTCACAGCCTATTTAGATCTTAACCTGGATAAGTGCTATGTGATTCCTCTGAACACTTCCATAGTTATGCCACCCAGAAATTTACTGGAGTTACTTATTAACATAAAGGTATACAATTTTCAAATATTTCTTACTGATGATGCTGTTATAGCATCTTAGAATTCCCTGTAGAGAAACTAGCACTGTAGGAGTACATCATGTTACTGGAAGTACAGCTGAGACTTACAGAGGAACTAAGACTCATGGTTTGTTTGTTTTTTGTTTGTTTCCTAATTTTGAAATTAAAATATAATTTGTTAATTTATATTTAAGTTTTCCTAAAGGGCCAGAGAATATATAGTAGGCTTCTAAGAAATAAGATCTGTGTTACAACTATTCGATTCTGATGCCATAGATAATATGTAAACAACACGGGCGTGAATGTTTTCCAGTAAAATTTTATTTATAAAAACAGAGGGTGGGCAGTAGTTAGCCAACCTGTTTTCCAACTATAATCTGTAAGAATTTTGCCTGATTACCTCGTCTGTTCAGTGTATGTTTTGAGATACTCATGTAATATATTCTTTTCCAAATGTAGGCTGGAACCTATTTGCCTCAGTCATACCTGATTCATGAACACATGGTTATCACTGATCGCATTGATAATGTTGATCACCTGGGTTTCTTTATTTATCGACTGTGCCATGACAAGGAAACTTATAAACTGCAACGCAGAGAAACCATTAAAGGTAATACTTTTTAATGTTAAAGTGCTAGCAGAAAAGTTGGTTATTTCACTCCATTTTGTTAAACTACATTTAGATATAGGCTAGTCATTATTACCAATATGCTTATGATGAGTGAGAAAATAAAACTATTATTGTATCACTACATAATATTTCTAGATATCTGATGAAGGATCATTGTAATTCTAAAGCCACTCTTTTCAGATAGAATACATGAATGGGAAACGTCATTGCCTTGACATGCTTACTTTCCATGTAGCCACCCGGTCCAACTTTGCATCCTACCACTTTGGTACAGCCGCGCTGCACGGTTCCTCTTATCCAGAAGGTCTCTAGAGAAGCTCTTTATGTATTTGCCCAGGGATCTGGATTCCAAGCAGAGTGTTTGCCTTTTGGATCAGCGTTGAAGATAATCACAGTCATGTTAATTACAAAGGAATTTGGCTGAGGAATTAAGAGCATTGACACAACTAATATAGCTTTGCCAAATTACTTAACCTTGTTTTCTCACTTGAACAATAAGGATGACAGTATCTCTCCATTTCTTTTCATGATCATTATAAAAATAAAATGAAAGTACATGTGACAGGGCTGTAGGAAAGTAAGAAGTGCCATTCAAATACACTATTGGGGTGATTTCTTTGGAACTGCGGCACCCAGTAAAATGCTCTCCTGGCTTTTGTTAGCATTTTTAATAATACTGTTCTTTGACCTCAGCTGATGAGTCATCTGAAAACTACTTGATTTTCTTATATTTTTAAATTATCTTAATGATTCATAATTTTTTAAAAAGTCAGACTTACAATGAAATTTACTCTTTTTAGTGTGCAGTTCAGAGTTTCAACAAATCACCACCATAGTCAAGATATAGAATATTTCTAATACCTGTAAGGTCATAAGTTTGTACATACAGCATTGTTATTGTTACTAAGATCTGTTAAGATACTTAGTTCAGAAAAGAGAGGAAAGTTATTTTCTCCAATGATAAAAATCAAACTATAGAAGTTCATAGAATATAGAATAAAATATTTCCATATTTCTAAATAATAACTGTGAAGATTAATGTGAATATTTATTACTAAAGAACCAAAAATTTTAAAAACTTTTCCTTCCCAAACAGGTATTCAGAAACGTGAAGCCAGAGATTGTGTTACAATTCGGCATTTTGAAAACAAATTTGCCGTGGAAACTGTAATTTGTTCTTGAGCAGTCAAGAAAAACATGGAGAAAAATTTAATATCATATCATTACCCCACCCTTTATATTTGTGCAGTGATTATTTTTAAAAGTCTTCTTTCATGTAAGTAGCAAACAGGGCTTCACTATCTTTTCATCTCATTAATTCAATTAAAACCATTTCCTTTTAAAAATCTTTTCTTCTTTCCAAGTGTGGTGTCTTTTATCTTTGAATTAGTAGTTGTATAAAGTCACAGATAATAGTACACTTCACCATAGATCTTAGGTGTAGAGATTTTTATGTTTGAATTATGCATTTCCAAGAGGCGTGGTTATCTAAACCATATATATATATATATATATATATACACACACGTAAAAATGGACCACAGTGACTTATTTGTAGTTGTTAGTTGCCCTGCTACTTAATTGTTTAGAGCATTTGAGCACACATTTTAATTTTTCTCTAATTAAAATGTGCAGTATTTTCAGTGTCATACTTAACTCTTTAGAGTATGGTTTCCACCTCAATGTTTTTAACATAATAGGCATCTGCTGTAATAATACTTTAGAAAATGTTTGGAATTTAAGAAATAACTTGTGTTACTAATTTGTATACCCATACCTGTGCAATAGAATATAAATATCACAAAATTGTTTGACTAAAGGCCTGTGTGTTGTTTTTCCCATGTAATAAAACTAAAGAGTAATTTGGGTCTTCATATCTTAAGATATAATCCACGTAAAGGAAGAAACTATTTTCTAAAATCCAGTTCTCTATATATAGCGGGTGAAATCATAGATTTTTTTAAAATTAAGCTTTTTAAATAACTGTATTCCTCATGGATACTGTTAAAGTAACATCTAAGACTCAACCTTGAAAGTTGCTATTAAATACATTTTAAAATAATGCTTTTGTATTTAATGGAAGGGCTATTATTAAACCTAAAATTTCCAAGTAGCATAAGCTTTTCTGAGAATGTCTCCTCACAAATGGAACATTCTGAGTTATGGTGGTGATTGTTTTATTTCTAAGGTTGCTTCCTATGTGGAATAATTCAGAATCCACCGCCATTTAAAATACCTAAGAATAATTTCATTGCAAGTTCCCAAGACAAAACAAAAATCAATTTTGAATTTAGAAAGTCAGAATTTTTGAAGCATCACAAACCCATAAAGGAATCGGTCTAGAAACCAATTCTGGTCCAAAAAGATGTTATTTGATTCCTGGGTCTTGGTTTCATTTCATAATGAAAATATCTTAAGAGCTTTAAGCAAGACAGTCAGATATTCAGGGATTGAGAATTTATTTTAGAAGAGTATGTTCTGATAAAATTGCTTTTCCCTACCTTGCAGGCTCTAAAATTTCGTGGTTTTTCAGGGGGCTGTGCACATTTAGGAGCACATATATTCATTTAGCAAATACTAAGCGTCCTTTATATGCCCAGCATGTGAAGTGTTAAGCATTGAAGACAGACACATCTTTGAAGAAGAAAGACAACTGCTGCATCAGTGGAGACTCAGTCTAGTGAAAGGGACTGATGGATATCCAACTCATTCCAATACAGTTGTGATGAGTACTATACCAGGGAAGAAGAGGCCCTGGAGTTTGGGGAGCATTTAGAAAGGACAGTGAGATTTTTAGAAGGTAAAGTACATGGGCCCAGGTCATGGAGGACTTCATGCCATGCCGAGGACTTCATTCAGTGGATCATGGGCCACTATTGAAGGTTTGTATTTTGGAAGGAACATGTTAGTTTCTGTTTCCCAGTGATAATAGTAATGCTGTATTAGTTAGGAGAGAGGAACTGCTGTAACAATTGCAACATCTCAGTGGCCTCAGACAGTAGGAGTTTGTCTGCTTTTACCACATTCCAGTGAGACAGACTCCAGGTTCCCAGGGACCCAGACTTCTCCATTTTTCTAACTACCTGGCCAGCATGGACATCTTTCCCAGAACCCTTGAATTATTTATTAGGCTGTAAAGTTTATGGATGCCAGTAATTGAACTGACTACTTAAATCAAAAAGGCTTATACTTTTCTATACAACATAATGATTTCATTAGAATTTTTAAAGGTTTTTGTATAATCATATAACACACTTGACACATACTCAAAACATTTACAATCATTAGTTTGACCACATTGGCCTAATGTGGTACCCATGGTTTTACTTCATTTTCATCACCGTTAAGATAATTTCTCGTTATTTACAGTTAATTGAATAGAGGTGCCCCTCTCACTCTAGCTTTGTCAGATGTCTCCCAGGAATTTTGGAACTGCAATTGAGATTCTGGGGTATACCCTTGGAACAACCTATGTGCCATGCCTGAATGCAGTCTTGGTGTCGCCATGGACTTGGAAAAACCAGAGAGCGAAGGATATGAATGAAGATGACAGAGAGGCAGGCAGGCAGAGAGGACTAGTTTCCTGGTGGGTTGCGGGGAGGCTGAGCTACCTTTACCTGTCTTTGATTTCCATAAGGCACTCCTTGCGTATGTTTGTGCTGACCTACAAGAGCTCTAATCCAGCTCATTTCCAGCAGCATTCTGTTCCTGTCACACTGGTTGCAAGAAGAGCACAGAAATTAGAGGAATAAAATTGTGGCAAGTTGTTAGGACTCTGATTGTGACCACTCATCTGTGATGGAGTGAGAATCTGTCTCAAAAGGTGGCAGAAAATGAAATAAAATAATGGATGTGAAAGTGCTGTGTACAGCTCTGTGTGTAGCTGGCGATTAATGCTGTTTGTGAACCGTATCACTGCTATCTGTTAACAAGTAAACACTGCTCTTCTAATGCAAGTATTTTCATTTCCACTTTTCTGTGTACCTTTTAGAGTCTCCACACTCATATCAGTGAGTGGGATGCAAACAACCCAAAAAAACAACCAAAAAATCCCCACAGTATTCCAAGTGGTATTTTCTCAAATAGCAGAAGTGGGAGTATAGAATGTAAAACTCAAAAGCATCTTAACAATGTAAATGAAAGCAAATGGATATTGGAATGAAAAAGTCCAGGTTCTACATTTGACTGTGGCTTGAATCAGTAAGATTCTGCTAAGTGCACATTTTAAATACTAGAAATCCCCTCTTCTGCCTAATTTTGTTGCCCAGAATTATTGGGTTGTCAGAAAAATGCATGACACATTTTTGCAATGAAAAAAATACGTCATGACATTTCCGACAACCCAATATGTAAATCCTACTTACTGTTGGACACCATTCCTTGCATATTTAACTCTTTGAGACTTAGTTTTCTGGATGAGGACTTCATGTGTATCTGTTTGTAAAAAGGACAACCCCTCATGTCCACAACTACAAAGCTATCGGTCAGTTTGTTGACTAACTCTTACAAAGTCAATGCCTGCTTTTTTCTCTCTGGGTCTTTCTCAGTGTCTTACAGGAGGAAGAGCATAGTTTAGTCTCAGCTCATACTATTGATAATTGTTAGGCTTTTATCTTTTTGAGAAAATATTAATTGAAGGGTTTTTGAAGCATTTACTGTAGATCCCACTCTTAATTCCCCCAGGCTTCTATTGCAGATTAGTCCTGAGAAGCAGAATGGGTGGGACCGGGAGGGCCCTGGAGACTCAAAATTCGTTCCTAAGTAGCATAAACCTAGATAGTCTTAGCTCTCTCCTGCTTGCATTTGTAAATAATTTGATGGGATTCTATATTCACTTTTTAAACATTCACATTGTTATTGTAAAAATCAAATAATATGGAAATGTTGATGGTGAAAAGTGAAGGGCTCCCTCTTTCTACCATCCTCTCCAGTCCCATTGTCGAAGAGAAACCGTTAACAGTTTCATGTGTTGCGTGATATAACTTTTTAGATCACCTGGTTCTTATTCAAGTGAGAAAGATGAAACACCATTCTCTGGTCAGATGATGTGGTCTTACCTATCACGAACTGGGAGTATGAAGACCAAGCCAGAAATCCCATATTCTCCACTGTCACCAAGTCCTCCACCTCCCAACATCAATCATGGCTATCAATCATGGCTTAACCCATTTCACCGCATCAACTTCTCCATCCCTACAGTCCAGTCTTCACACTTGCAGCCACAGCAGTGTTTTCAAAACATGAATTTGATGTTTTCTTTTTATCACACTGCCTGCTTAAAATACTGTCAGGGCTTCCCCCTGGCTCTTAGGATAGAGACTAAAATACTTAGAGACTAAAATACTTAATGATGTCTGGTACAGCCCCAACCCACCGCTCCGGCCTCATCCTAATCACATTGCCCTTCGCTCTCTTCATCCTGCCACACTGGCTACCTTACAGTTTCATGATAAACGCTCTTCTTCCTCCCCTGAAAATGATTCTGTCCATTCCCCCTCGTGCCCTTTCAGATGTCTTCTAGTCAACCTTCAGAATTTAGTTCAGATGTCCCTTCCTCAAGGGAAAACTTGCCTGAAGGATTAGGAAAGTTGCCTATTTCACAATTTTAAAGCATATTATTTCTCCTTCGTGGTATTGAATACGATTAAAATTTTATATTTTGTCAGTTTTGCTTGTTTAATATATTTCCCTCACTAGATTCCGCAATGTTCTTAGTAGGGTATCTGGCACGTAATTGGAGCTCCTAATTATTTATTGGATAATATAACATTTCCCAACCAGTTGTCTAGATGTCTTCCAAAATCTATGCTGGCTTTCTCCTCAAATCTGTTCACTCTGGATCTGAGTAAATTGCCTTAAACAGAAATCTTACCATATCTTTCTTTTATAAAATTCTATGATGGTGTTTAGCTGCGCTTAGGAAAAAAATCCAAACTCCTTCCGAGCCCTAAAATCCTTCCCTCATTGACTTCTGTCACTTTTCTGTCTTTATCCTATCCTCTTCCTTCTGTTCTGGCCTTCAGATAAAATGGTGGCCCCCCTGAAACAATTTCTGCCTGCCCTCCCTCCATCCACACAAAACATGTAAACTCCTACTCATCCTTCAAATCTCAGATTAAAAGTTTACTCAGCCACAACAGCTCTCTCTATTATCTCTCTCTGAAACCTTCCACTAGACTATTAGTAAAGCTTACCTGTGTCCTCTCTACTTGGCACATAATAGGTCTTAACATTAAATGAAGGAATAAACTATTTGGTCAACTGTAGCTAGAAAAAAACAGTTCAATATCAACTTCTCAACTTCATTAAAACCAAGTATTTCTTGGTAGGCAATCTTCAGCATTCGAGTGAGCAATTAATTGTTGAATGAACAACATTTTGTGGATCAACTCATTCATCTGGTGAGGTTTTTACTTGACATCCATTTCTTCCTGACAGCCTCATTGTGCAGACATAGGCTTATTCTAAATAAAATGTTCTAAGGGGGCCGTATTAAGATTTTTATATGACAGAAGTGGGTGACCGATAATATATATCTCCAAATGTTTCAAACCAAAATTGCGTCTTGCTCACTCTGCTGAGTGAAATTTGGGGCCAGATGCTCTTCCATGTTCAAAAGGATAGCGACATTCTTTTAAGGCCGAGAGATTGTCAAAGGGGTGGTAGTAAGTTTTAAAGTGTAGGGGGAATATATTTGGTTGTCACCAAGAACTGGGGATGCTATTTGTATTTAGTGGTTGGGGCCAATGATGTTAAGTGTCTTAAAAATAGGGAGTCCTGCATAAAAAATAAAAAAAAAGTCTTGCCCTGCCTAATTTTATCAGTTATACCCCTGCTGGGAAGCATGGAAGGAGACTCAACTGAGTTTCCAGAATGCCAGGGATCAAGGTATCCATTAAGCCCCCAACGAAGAGAAGCCAGGCATGGTTTTCCATTTGGAACGTTTCTTATAACAAAACCTAATTAGCCAAATGCAAGTTTAGTAGCTAAACCCCACATACCTAGCTTTAATCAGCTCCAGAGAATATTGCACTTTAGTTAACCCCTAATTATCTGATATCCAACTTCTGTCACAAACCTGGCTGAGGCGTCCAAGGAAGGTGAGCCTGCGAAATTTGAGATTTCTCCACTCCTTTGTAGTCAGTTGACACTATCTAGAAAGCTATTCTACCTTGAATGCCTGCCTTCAGCTCTCCATAGAAATGCTTTCATAGAACCATGACTTAATATTATTCTCTTTTGTTGAGGAGTGATAGAAATAAAAATAAGCCTTCAGCTTTTATAAAAGTAGAAGTTTCTATCTTTTTGTAAAAGATAGAAATAACATTTCTTCAACTTTTATGAAAGTTATAGTGAAAATGTTACATAATACCTAGTGTTATCTAAATATTCTTAAGTTTAATGTTATAAAAAAATTGTCTTCTGATATATGCTGATATTAGATAATAGCTAAATAATTTGTTTCCCTTTTGCCTTGGTTGCTGGGAAACTTGGAGCTAAGCTTTGTGCTCAGTTAGATGAATTACTTTTAGCTGAGATTTTTTTTGTATATAAGCCTTTTAGTAGTTGGCTTACGTTTTGTTGTGTGTTTTAGATAGAATTTACCTGCAATAAAGTGCACATAGGGTTCAATGAATTTTGATAATTTTATACATCCATGTTAACAATCATTGAATATTTTCATCATCCCAGAAAGTTCCCTTGTGCCCCTTTCCAATCAACACCTCCTCCCTCTGTTGCAACAACTTTCTGGTTTCTATGACCATAGGTTAGTTTTTGGCTGTTCTTGAACTTTTATTTGAATGGAATCATGCAGTATTAATCTTTTGGTCTGGCTTTTTTCTCAACATTTCTGACATTCTTCCATATTGTTGCATGAATCAATCGTTCTTTACCACTGTTGAGTAGTACTTCACTTTTTTAATATACTACAATTTGTTCATTTCTCATGCATATGGATATTTTTGTTGTTTCTGATATGTGGCTATTATGAATAAAGTTGCTATGAACATTCGTGTACAATTTTTTTTGTGTGGACAGCTCATTTAAAAAAAGGTCTTTGCTTAATGATTTAATTGTGCAAATATCTTTATTGTAAACCTCATCTCTTTATGAAGGGGAGTAGGTAAAGTATAAATAATAAATGCATGAAAATATAACAGTCCAACTATGATTAGATTTATAGTCATAACTGAAACACTAAAAACAACATAAATTTTATTTTCTCATTGTTTTAGAATTAAACACCAAGCTAAATATATAACCTATCCCTTCAAATAAACTCATACACTTTGGATGCTGTCTCATTTAAATTCCCCATAAGGTATAGGTTGCTATCTTTTCAAATCCCCATTTTCCTTGTCCAGCAGGTAGATTAAATGTATTCAAAGCCAAACTTGACTTTCCTCCTCAAACCTAGCCCTCCCACGGTTTTCCTAACTCTTCCAGTTTCTCAGGATGAAAATATAGAGTCATCCTTGATTCCTCTCTTTTTCATAAACCTTACATCTAGTCCATCAGCATATCTGGTATGCTCTACCTTCAAAATACAGATTGTCAGGAATTCAGCCACTTCTCACTCTCCCTGTCACTAGTCAAAGGCACAATCTTCACCTGCTTGGATTAATGCAATAGCCTCCTAACTGGTCTTCCTGCTTCTGTATTTGGCCCCAAGAGCCTATTCTAAACAGCAGCTAGAGTGATCGTTTCTAAATCTCACTGACATCATGCCACTCCTCTGCTCAAATCTGAACATTTTTATTCAGAATAAAAGCCAAAGTTCTTATGATGGACTGACTGCAAGGCCTCTGAGAACCTCGCCTTTCATGATCTCCACGCCCCCTCTCCCTTTTCTCACTCTTCTCCAGTCCCATGGCTGCTTCACTTAACCGTATTTGCCGGCGTATAAGACGACTGGGCATATAAGACGACCCCCTAACATTTCCACTCAAAATACAGAGTTTGTTATATACTCGCCGTATAAGACTACCCCCTCTTCCGCACACCTTCCACACACCAAATAAAAGGTAAAACAATATCAGATTTGATTTGGCCCACTGAAGTGCAAACAAGCGTATTGTATTTCGTGTCACCACATAACCATTTTGGCGATGTTGAGCCACCATGTCTGCTACATGTTTTTCGAGTTTTGGCCAGTGTGGGGTGCCTCTTCTTAATGCACACTTACCCCTTGGCATATTCTTTAATGCTTTCTCATTTGATTTCCAGTCCCGAACCATCTTTTCTGTTACTCCATATTGTCTTGCAGCAGCACAATTATTATTTTCCTTAGCAAAGTTTATAACTTTCAGTTTAAAATTTGCATCATACTTCTTTCTTTTGGCTGGTGCCATGATAGGGATGATAGGGGTTTGACTGGTCGACATTTTCTATGCTGTACTGTACAATGGTGCAGTATTGTGGTTGGCTGTTGGCTGTATACAAAGCCTGATTTGATTGGTCCCTGCTCCCTGTTTGCCCACCCTGTCACTATAGCAGTCTGGTCCACCCTTGCATCAGCATCTCCCTGGGACCTCACTAGTGTGCAAGTGCGAGCTCTTCAACATTCTAACAGGCACCATGATAGCGCAAAATCGCGAATCTTCAATGCATATGTAAAGAAATATACGGTAACCCGAATTTACCACACTCGCAAAATCGCACACAACCGAGCATACACCCAGCAGCGCTGCTGATGCCTGAACGGTATGTGGAATGAAGTGGGCGGGCATCGGGAGGCCACTATGGCACGGGGCAAGCACTATGGGCAGTCTATCTGAAGTGTACCTGGCGTATAAGACGACCCCCCACTTGGAGGCATATTTTTCAGGGCCAAAAAATCGTCTTATACGCCGGCAAATACGGTACCTCTGAACACACTGAAGGCAACCTGCCTCAGAGACTTTGTGTTGTATGTTTACTTACCCTGACCTAGGCCAGACCATAAAGATGGCTTCAAGTTTTGAGATGGGCAAAAATGATGACTAGAATGTGGCTCAAGATTCCTGAAACCGCTAATAAGCAATGCAAAGAATAAACAAATAGTGATTGGGGACACTTGCCCACAGCCTCCCTTGTTTTCTCATAAAGTTTTCTCTGGGATTGGGTGGTCTCCACAGCTCACATGGAGTGAGATGTTTATCCCAGTAGAGGAGCATATGAGTAGAACTGTGGGATCTGCTTCTCCCTCCAATCCCCAGCCGTCCAAAAACCAGAAACAAACTGTACTAGCTTATCATTCTTCTGCACGCATTGATATGGATCAACAAGGCCTTGTGCCTGGGGGTCCTCGGCTTTGACAACCTCCCCTTATCTATGTCTGCACTCCAGTAGGATCTAAGAGTTTTGCAGTCTGCCCCCTTAGGGCCTTCCTGGCCATGACCTACCACAATGCCTTGTTTTCTCCAGCGTTCTTATTATCACCTGATCTATATTTGTTTTCATGCATTATTGTCTGTCTCCCTAAGTAAAATGGAAGTTCCCTGAGAACAGAGACTTTACTACTTTTGTTCATGCTGTGTCCCTCCTCAGTACCTAGAATGGCACCAGGCGCATAGTAAATATTTACTGAATTAATTTTGTTCAGTGTATTTAACATGGTTCTATGTTGTCTCCTTCCAAAAAATGGCATTATTGTACAGACTTCAGTGGCTGCTCAGATCAAACTAAGCCAAACCTTCCTTTTTGCATTTTTCTTTCCTTTTAGTTTACAGACAGAATTGTATTTAGAGCTTGCAATGGCCATTGGAATGCAAGTTGTTGCACATACCTTTAATTCGGTACTGGTTTAGTTGCTGTGTTAAGAAAGTGAGCTGGGCCAGCCACGTGGCTCATTGGTTAAGAGTTGGCTTGGGAGCACGAACTCTGAGCAGTAGGTCCACCAGTTCGGATCCCACATGGGCCAGTGACGCTGCACCCTCTACAGCTAAGATGGTGAACAACAGCTCGACCTGGAGTTGGGCTGAGGTGAGTCGCCCGTTATGGTGTAGGCTGCAATGGGGCTGCAGTGGGCTACCGTAAGCTACTGTGAGTGGCCGGCAGCCAGCGTGAGCTGCTGTGAGCCGCTGTGAGCAGCCATCCAATGGCCGGTGACCAATCTGCCTCAGCCGGGAAGAGCGCAATGATCACAATACCAACATGGGCCAGTGAAGCAACGTCCTCCACAACTAGACTGAAGAACAAAGGACAGCAACTTGTCTGTTCCCCTTCCCTGATTCCCCAACACTGTTCCCTCCCTGAATTCCCTAATAAAATCTTAAAAAAACAAAACAAAAAAACTCTATCTAAAGAAATAGATTTCTAATTAAAAAAAAAAAAGTGAGCTGAGCATTGTGTCTTCAGTAGCCAGAGGTGAAGAAAATCTATTTTCTTATTTTAATATCTAAAGTTCAAATTACCTCTAATACAGGGATCCCTTGAATGTGATAATGCGGAATCACGTTGAAGAATAAAAGATGGCAAAGAGTATATTGAAATTCAGACTGATTCACAAGTAAAAGTTCTCTTGGAAGCAGCATTCTGAGAAAGATCCTACTTGTGCAAAAATCTACTTTTTTTTTAAACTAAAATAAATTAATTTTATTTCTTATTTATATTTTTAAGATTCTTATTAAAATATAGCCAACATACAATATTATATTAGTTTCAGGAGTACACCATAGTTATTCAACATTTATATACCCAAAGAAGTGATCACCATAATAAGCCCAGCAACCATCTGACACTGTACCACACTATCACAATATTATTGACTATATTCCCTGTGCTGTACATTATATCCTTGTGATTTATTTGTTTTATGCCTGGAGACTTAAACCTCATTTCCCTTTACCTTTCCCCTCTTTTAAAATTTTTGAATTACAGTTGAGTCAATATTACTTTATATTAATAATTTCAGGTGTAAGCATAGTGGTTAGACATTTATATAATGTCTAGTACCCACCTGGCACTATACATAGTTATTACCATATCACTGACTGTTCCCTATGCTTTACTTTACATCCCCATGACTACTTTGTACTAATATCTACTTTTTTTTCTTGCATTTTTAAAGAATTTATTTTTTATTAGTTTCAGGTGTACAAAGCAATGTAATAGTTAGACATTTAAACCCCTCATAAAGTGATAACCCATCCCCCAAGCTACTACCCCTCTCACATCTTATATAGCTGTTACAATACCATTGACTATTTTCCCTATGTTGTACTCCACATCCCGTGACTATATATACCTATATATTTAATTATAGTTGACATTCAGGTGTTATCCTACTGCAGCTTCATGTGTATAGCACATTGGTCAGGCATCCACAGTCTATGACATGATCCCACTGATAAGTCCAGTGCCCATCTGGCACCTTGAATGATCTTTACAACATTGTTGATTATATTCCCCATACTGTATTAACTACCAATTTGTATTTCTTAATCCTTTCCTCTTTCACCCACCCTTATCCCCCTCCCATCTTAAAGAAGTCCCTCTAAGATTCTTTGTAACACAGGTTTGGTGGTGATGAACTCCTTCAGCTTTTTCTTGTCTGGGAAGCTCTTTATTTGTCCTTCAATTCTAAATGGCAGCCTTGCTGGGTAGAGCAATCTTGGTTGTATGTTGTTGCTTTTTATCACTTGGAATATTTCCTGCCACTCCCTTCTTGCCTGCAGTTTCTGTTGAGAAATCAGCTGCCAGTCTTACAGGGGCTCCCTTGTAGTAACTAACTGCTTTTCTCTTGCTGCTTTTAAGGTTCTCTCTTTGTATTTAACCTTTGGCATTTCATTATGATGTGCCTTGGTGTTGGCCTCTTTCAGTTTATCTTGTTTGGGACTCTCTGTGCTTCCTGGGCTTGTATGTCTATTTCCTTCACCAGGTTAGTGAAGTTTTCTGTCATTATTTCTTCAAATAGGTTTTCAATTTCTTGCTCTTTCTCTTCTCCTCCTGGCACTCCTATAATGTGAATGTTGGTATGGTTGATATTGTCCTGGAGGCCCCTTAAACTCTCCTCAATTTTTTGGAATT